TCACGCGACTTTGGGTACAAAAAAAAAAGTTAGCAACCATTTAATAAAGCGGCAATAAAAATGCATGGTTGCTATATACAAGGCGTTAGGAATGTGGTTTCTCTTTAAAAGCTTCAATAATAAATAGTTGTTAAACGTTATCGGACTTCGGACGGCATGGTTACCGGCGCATATCGTCATCAAAGATTTCAATGTATATTTCGAACATCTTCTGTAGACCAGTGTTCGCCAGTTGTGGGCACCAAAAAAAAAAAAAAAAAAAAAAAACGATAATATATATTATATATATGTGTAAACTTATACCAATATTCTATACCTTGGATGTTTCAAAATTCGCATTATTAGAACTTGAATACTAAATACATATATATATTATCTTATCTTTAAACGGAATGAAGAGAAGCCAGAAAGGGATCGTAAATTTTTCAAAACTAAGCAACTGACTTACTGCCAGTGTTACGTCAATACATTAAAATTAAACAAACAAAAATGCTGCATTTGACTTGGCATGACATCACATCGATTGCATAGCCATTGTTTGTTTGCTACATGCTGGCGTGTCAATCGATCGTATCGGTCAGTTATTGGTCTAGAGATCAAATGCACGCACATTGCTCATAAATATTTCAAATCAAAAGGGACAACCTGACAATCTTTGTATAAAACGTTATAAATTAGTGAGCAACTTACTCGCTACCGCTGCTAACATTTTAGAATTCATTTCTGGCCATCAGTATGTCATGTGCCGAGTTTCATGTAAGAAATACTAACACTAGACGACGAAAGCACGAAATAGAAATGAACCATGCTAAGGGGAACTGATGAGTTTCATCGGCTCCATAGAACTTATAAGTAAAATAGCAAATCTAACTCATCCCCTCATTCTTCTTACCGTGTTCAAGAAGTAGAAAAAATCTATTCACCTTAAGGTGCGTACCAAATATTTGGCATTTGATTCGGGTATGAAAAAAAGAAAACACGAAATACCCTGTCAGCAATAAATGCCGGCTGGAAGTATTTTAAGTTTGGCCGAAACATATGAAATGTTAGATCGATATCTGCTATTGTTTTCAAGATAATGATAACAATATTTGGAAATTTTCCCAACTGTTGCAACCATGTTTGCCCGGTCAATTCATATCCGTTCTTAATGTGATTCAAAGCAAAGATATGTGCATCAGCTTTTAAAGCTTTATCTGAAATTTTTTTATCTCTATTGCTTTTAACAATGGATGACGACTAATACGGGGAATAGATAAGCAGGGAAATGGGCAAATAGTCTTAGAATTCCACACGAATAAAGAATGTTCATAGTTTATGCTACTTAAAGGCACGTGTATGACTTTTAAATGCAATAAGACATATACACCGGTATATTTTGACGCAGAAGGGCACATGGATAAGTGAACCAAACTGCATTTGATAAGTTTTCAGCGAAGTCTAATATGTTGAAAAATATTAGAGTCATCTCTTTCCTGAAAGAGAAGTCACTGGCCTTAAAAAGTTCACATTATACGAAGGGGGGATTATTGTTAGAAATGCGATTTATTAGGTTAGGACTTGTCTTAAGAAACGGTGGCATTCAATCTATGCAAACTTAATGATAAATGTGATGTTGCAAACTCTTTTAAGGATATCCAGACTTTCGGACCCAGCGAACATTTTTACTCTCATTTCTCTGCGACTATTTTACCAAGCTCAGCCATCAATTTCGTTCGGGAGTGACCGAAGGATCTTCGGTTTCGATCACCAATAACTAAGTTTGCTCTGTAGCTGTCGGAATGGGAGTCGCTGCAGTCATTGGTACTAGATCTATCGGTACTATGAGCAACACCGAGAATTTATTTATAGAGCTGCTAGACTATAAAATCTCTGCCTTTCAGCCAGCATATAAAACGTCCTTATAATTGTTCCTTGCCTTTAGAAGTTTTCTGACTATTTCACCGATTTTGGAATCAAACCGTGTTAAGGCGATTAATAACCGACATGGCATAGAACTGCAGCTTCTCTGACTTTAACGCAACTTGAACTCTTCTCCCCTAACGCCAGCAGCTTTTTGATCTTTCGCTCGTCTACTTACTCTTTATTTTCTTCTCTTTTGGATCATTCTCTCGTGTCTCGATCATCATTTCTTCTACTATGATTTCTATCACCATGGAATAATGATTGGCTTCTATCCCTGCAGCAGTCTTATTTTAAATATTATAAATACACCTGTAATGGGTTTGAGATTTAATTGGTGGGTAAATAAAATTCGTTTTGAGGCATTTTCTATGATTTTCTTACCCGTTTCTTTACACGTTTTCTTATCTCACTAATTACGATAATTGTTCTGTAGAAATTATTGTGCATATATATATATATGTATATATACATACATATATATTTCATATATCAATGCGTGCATATATTGATTGTAAAATATAAACTTTATACGTATGACCGTCAAGAATTTCAGATACTTAAGTCTTTGATTGCTAAACACTCTCACATATCAATAACCCCGGCGATTAACAAAATATTGTTTTTATTGGAACCATTCACTCACTAGATTGTTTATTTTCAATCAAGTTGACAATATATATATAAATCGTTTCACCAAAATTTTCAGTTCTTTTTCAAACAGTTGATCGGCATCGATCAACGAATATAGACAGAGTTTATCAGAGTTTCGTTTAAACAATTAATTATAATTTTTACAAAAACTAATCATAATAATCATAATAATAATAATAATTATAATAATAAAACAATAACAATAGTATTAATTAACTCGTTAAGGTAAAGGATAATTTAAATAATGAGAGCAAAAAGTGATTTAAAAGAAAATCTAAACTATAGTTAAAAACCCAATTTCGGGATAATCAAAACATGAACTTGGAAAATTTTGCACGTGTCCATATAAAGATCAGGATCACTTAAGAGTGCCTTTACTCGCGATGCAATATAATTTTTTTAAATCAACTTAAGTTAAAAAGTAGTGAACAAAATATTAACAAAATATTTTCCGCATAAATGGATCTACGTATCATTGTCCTGCTTATGCTCTAATATTTTAGTGAACAATTTTTGGAGCTAACTGCACTTAATCTTAAAGTAAAATCAGCCGGGCGTCAAACAATACTTACTTACCTTCCAGTTTTAATAACGGAACTTTCCGAATTCCGTATATTTGACATGGCATTCCATTCCATGGACACATTGGCATCGGCCTTTGTCGCTTCGAACACCTACGTACCACATATTTACTCTAGATGCCCAGTATTAAGTAACTAAATAATTTACTTTATAAAAAGTAAATTCAATTAATACATTACTTCAAAGGCCGATGCAATGCGTAATTAACGATCGCAATTACTTTTCTTTAATCTTTTAATCTTTTTTTTTTCGTAGTTTCTTTAACTATATGCTATATTTCCCATTCGGTTCGTTACACCCAGATATAAACTATCGATATAGCATAATTTTACCATTTCGATTGTAAGGCGCAGTAAAAGTATTGTACCGAATAGTGTAGACTGAGCATTATTTCAATTATTCGAGCGTTCCTGAATTCACGCATCGTCCGCTTTTCGAACTCAGAAAAGTCATCGAAATCTACACTAAAAGTAAAAAAAAACAAAGTAAAACGTGCTCTTTTATCCCTAGATTCGAAAATAGTCATGTTCTCCAGGCAAATAATTCCATGATAGGGGGAAAAAAGCCTTAATCGACCAATGTAAAGACTTGGCGAATCAATATTTTTTCCACGAACGACTTCAAATTAATAAGAATTCCCTGTCGCTGTTATGCGTACAAACACATCTTCAACTTTCTTATTAGCTATAGATCAGTTCAATAGTCGTGATTATACCCTAATCATTTGTTGCACCGGGCATATCAATTTGGAGCGGATGTACACAACACCCAGAAGAAGTTGAAAAAGAGCGATTCCCATTTCCAAATCGACCTAAAATTGTCCGTCCATCCGTCGGGCCAAGGTCCGTCTATGTCTCAAATTTTCATGTATTTCGATGAAATTTAACCAACCAACACTCTTTCTTCCAACGATGAACACTATTGAAAATGGTTCGGATGGGACAACTGGTGTGAGTATTTAATAGAGATTAGAGAGAGATAAGACAGATTGTCCGTCTGTCCGTCGGTCCGTGATATGTCTATGTCGCAAATTTTTGAGCTAGTTTGCGGAAATTTAACCAACCAACTTTCTTTCTTCCAAAGACGAAGACATTGAAAATGGTTCGGATGGGACAACTTCTTCGAGCACTTTTCATATGACGCTTTATAAAAAAGTCTTTGTATGAATAGATGTATTTAAGAAAATGATATGAATATTTAATTGAGATTATAGAGAAATAAGAAAGATTGTCCGTCTGTCCTTCTGTCCGGAGTCTGTCTATGTCTCAAATTTTCATTTATTTTAATGAAATTTAGCCAACCATTCGGATGGGACAACTTTTTCGAGCACTTTCCTTATTAAAAAGTCCTTGCTTGAATAGATTTATTAACCAAAATTGTTTAGGGTATTTAATAGTTGGCTATGGCCGTTTATTTATTTTAAAAAAACGACCACTTCTTGGACAATATTTGTGACACGTTAAAGATATGAAAAATTAATTCCGCGATGGTTGTAATAAATTATCAGTGAGATTACAATTCGAATTTTATTTATTGCCTTAAGTAGTTATTGACCAATCAAGCAAAGATGCCATTCCCGTGATCATAGCTTTTTTTTTATTTATTTATTTTTTTTTATTTGTATTGTTGCAATGTTTTCTAAGCTTGATAAGACTAATCTTATCGTCGCAAATTGCAAACAAATTGTTTATTATGAATTAAGGATTAAACGTACGTTTTGCGTGCAATTCATTCAAAAAGATAAAATAACTATAATTATAAATCAATTGGAATATACCCTCTTATCGATACGCATTTGGAGATAATGTTTCATAATAATATTTGTTCTTTTTTTTTTATTTTTTATTTTGCCATCTTGGCAGATGTCTTTAAAGGATACTAAAGAGAAGTCGACTTCGGTTTTCACAATAACCGATTTTCATTCGAGGTAAGTTCGAAAGAATTCAAATATATTTTAAAAGCTTAAGTCATTTTTAAACAACGTTGCAGAACTAATCTCACAGAGAAAGGTAAACTTAGTGACGAATATGATCCGTTCGCTCATCGTGATCAGGAAACGGGCACATCAACGAGTGGTGCTTTAGCGCATTTATTGAAAAGTTCTTTAGGTACCGGTATCTTGGCCATGCCAATGGCTTTTCTTAATGCCGGTCTAGTATTCGGCATGATTGGTACTTTAGTAGTGGGATTTCTTTGCACATATTGCGTCCACATGTTGGTAAGCTATACGATTAGTGTTTATTTATATTTTGAAATGGTTTTTTAACTATGAAAATTCAGGTTCATTGAGACATTCTCATGCACTTAAATTTGAAGTGACGTATTGCTTACGAAGAATTTATCAACTACTTCAAGGTTCTCTACTTAAAACTTATTTATATTTATAAAGCGATTAAATTATTGTTAAAAAACCATAACAAAAAAAAAAAAAAAATAACGAAAACAAAAGATGATCTGTAATCGATTTTTATGCTTCGGTTCTAGGTGAAAACTTCACAAGATATGTGCCGTGAACTTCGAGTACCTGCTTTAGGTTTTGCGGAAACTGCTGAAAAAGTCTTCGAACACGGTCCCATAGGTCTGAGGAAATATTCAAAATTTACCAGGTATATTAAGTTATCAGATCTTTATTGTCATCACTCTACATTTGTGGACTTAACCGTAGAAACGAACCTCCGTCACATAAAGTTCTAAATTCTCTTCACCTATTAGGAGATCAATTATTCTTTATAGTTGACATTAGAATCTAATTGACACTATCTTCACGCCACGTTCAATAGTTCGTAGACTATTTATACGATTGATGATTTTTTAAGCTCACGTGCTTGTTATTAATACTTTTAAGATCACAAACATTATAAATATACATCGACCAGAATTACCTATGATCACTGTTTGCTTACCGTTAAAATTCTAACGGAAAACAGGATATGCAAAAATCTTCATTGACAACTAAAATTTTTTACTCTAATGGTGTTTAGGTTTAGGGGCTTTCACTCGAAGCTGTCATTTTCATGAAAATCCGCATATTGGAGGGTTAGATTTTCCCTCGCGCGTCCAAAAATAAACCTACCTTTTCACCATTTAAAGCTTCAGTTTCTATTGGCACGGTCCAAAGTTTCCACACCAATTTGGAATGCCGAAATACAGCTACTTAGCCACTTTTGCCAGAAAATTTTGAAAATTGCAATTTTTTTCAGAATAGGGGAGCGATCCAAAACAAGTGTACCTATCCGAACCCTTTTTAATAGCGCTCATCTTTGGGCCAAAGTGCGTCAGTGTACCGAATTTCATCAACCAATGTCTAAAAAATTTGCGACTTGCAGCTTGAAAACAAAAATATATGGACAGAAGTCAGACGGACATACGGACAGACAAGCCTATAATAAAATTTGGGCCTTCCTTAAGCTCTTCTTGGTGTTACATACGTCTGCACCAACTTAATATACTCTGTCCTACAAGTGAACAAGCCTAACATTAACGGGAAACTTTATATATCTGCGATCAAAGGTGGCCAGGTGTTCAAAATTCGTTTAAAGTGAATGTAGCTTTCCTGCATTGTATTTATTTGTTACTCATTTTTTTGTTTTGCTTTGTTTTTTTTTTTTTTCTTTTTACAGACAATTTGTGGACGGTTCTTTGATGGCTACTTATTATGCTGCTGCTTGTGTATATATCGTGTTTATAGCGACTTCATTTCGTGATGTCATCAATTGTGATTTAGATATCAACTGGCATGTGCGAATTTATATCGCGTTAACTTTGATACCGTGCTTATTTATCGGACAAATACGTGAACTGAAATGGCTGGTACCATTTTCGGCAATGGCCAATGTATTCATCATTGTCACCTTTGCCATAACACTGTATTACATGTTTAACGAGCCATTGGTATTTGAAGATAAGCCATACATAGCCAAAGCAACGCAATTGCCATTGTTCTTTGCCACCGTGATATTTGCCATGGAAGGTATTGGTGTAGTCATGCCCGTAGAGAATTCGATGAAGAAACCTCAGCATTTTCTGGGTTGTCCAGGTGTTTTAAATACCTCCATGTTAACTGTGGTCACATTGTACGCAATTATTGGCTTCTTCGGTTACATACGTTTCGGATCTGAAGTACGCGGCAGTATAACTTTAAATCTACCGTACGGTGCACCGTAAGTAAATTTTGTGAAAAATAATATATAAATTGATTTTACGTAATCTATCTCTTCTACGCGCATAGAAGTGCATTCAGATTTTTGGTTAGGATGAGATTTTCGACCGATTTAGTCACTTCACTTTAGTCCATCCTTCTATCGGTCGTAACTTTCATAATAACAATTACATGAGCTTAAAATGCCTCTGAATTCTCGATCATTTTTCGAGCGAGATACATTTACTTATTTGTTTGAAAACTGACAACATTTTGAAAATATCAAAAAGTTTGAAAGAAATTTTTCTGAACAGCCCCCAACCATAGGAGAGATCCGCAATTCAGTTTCATTTTTGCAGGTAAAGAGTCAATTGTTTCGTATGGAAAATTCCATCAGTCCAACTTTCATAATCTCTGAGTAATGAGCAAAAACGGAATAATCTTCAGTTTATGCTCCACTGCAGACCCCTGCCCTGACCAACTTTGCCCATTTTCAACACCAACTTGCGTGCAAATGCTTCCAATATTTCTACCAAATTTAAAGTCGATATCTTCATTTTCAAGAACAACACAGACGGACAAACATTTCTTAATCAGTCACAGACTTTATATATAAATTATAGGGTCTCTGAAGCTTCCTTTTGCAAGGAAAAAAAACGGATTTCCCCCCCGTCCGTCAGCGTTGGGTGTAAAAAGGATTTATTATTACTATTATTATAAACTTAGTCAGAGAATAAATTCTAAGACTAAAGTCTTAAAGCACTAGCATCTAAGGCTTTCGGCTTTATTAAAAACTCTACCGTACTTGAGATTTGAACCCACGACCATTGAGTTGGTAGTCGAGACTCTTGCCTACTCGGCCACTCAGGCGGATAAAAAAAAAAAAAAAAAAAAAAGGATTAAAAAAGGATTAAAAAAGGATTTAAAACTTAAATTAAATTTTCTACATAAACTTAAAACTCAGTTCCAAGTTCAGGTCATGACTGATACGAATCCGCTTAGGATGCTCCATGAATACTGTGTTCGAAATATGTAGTGTATGCAGTATAACGAGGTACGCGTATCTTCATGGCCAGAAATCATAAAACTTTTAATTTTTCAAGTTTCACCTAAAATCATTTAACCTGAGATAGCTTTTACTTCTTCTGAAGCTCACACTCTTAAAGCAATTTTCACCGATTGATGTAATAAGAGCAAATGCGAAACAAGAACTCGAACCGATAAATAAATAAGTTGGGAGGACTTCATGTCTAAGGCTTGAAGCTTTGCATTTTTTTCGCCCTTTTTTTTGCAGAATTCAAAACCTTACCTTACTAACTAGTACCTGTTTTTCATTTACTTTAAATATTGTGCGGGTTTTTTTTTTTTTTTAGTTTGGCAGATGCTGCCAAGTTATTAATGGCTTTGGCGATACTCTTCACTTATGGCTTGCAATTCTATATACCGAACGATATTTTGTGGAGTAAAATCAAGCATAAATTTGATCCGAAAAATCATAATATCTCACAAATATTACTAAGAACAGGTATTATACTGATAAGTGGTGGTGTTGCGGCAGCCATACCGAATCTGGAACCATTTATTAGCTTGGTGGGTGCAGTGTTCTTTTCATTGCTGGGTAAATGACTTTCAAATTTTCACATTTATTTCGGAAACTTATTACTGTTATTGTTATTTTCTTCAATTCATTCAGGTATTTTTGTGCCGAGCTTAACCGAGACGGTTCATTTGTGGCCAAACAATTTAGGTTTTTGTAAATGGAAATTGATTAAAAACATAATTTTATGTATATTATCTATTCTCGCTTTAATTACCGGTGCTGCTGTTAGCATAATTGAAATAATTAATATGAACAATGATCTCCCAGAAGCCAGTGCGCAGTGTAAAGCGGTGTAGTTTATAGTAAAAAAATTAAGCATATTTTGCAAAATTTCATTTATCCATTAATCATTAATTAATATTAAGTTTATGCTGTTATGGTAGGAATCAAGCTGGGCTTGCCTTTAAGCAATAACCTTTTTAACTTAAGTATCATTTTTATTTATTTGTTTGGTGCTACATATATTAAATATTTTTTTATTACTAGATGATGTGCATTGCGTTCTTTGTATGCATTCACTTTTTATATATATAAATATATATATATATATATATACACACAGATACATTAAATATATATTGCGAAGCATTGATATTATTTTTAATTTCATTAATTAATTAATTAGTTTATATAAGTTAATTATTTAATAATTTATTATTTAAGTATCGCCTTAAGATCGAAACATGTAATGACATCAAGATTAATTTAGAATATAATCTAATAAAATTTCAAATTAAAAAGACATATATTATATATTAAAATTTGAAAGATGATCTTGAAATTTCTGAGCTATAAATTCTAAGATATGATCAGTTGAATCTCGGATCTGTTTAATTTGGTTTATCTTAACTCGTAGATCAGGCGTTCAGATGTAATGTAACAAGGAGAATTTAGATCGCTCTAAACTGAACGATCTTCTTCTTGCTTTCCCGTTCGTAACGCAAACGAAATTAATTTTATTCACTTGTACAAGTTTTGTGCCATTTCTAATCCAAGAGATAACTAGCATCGGACAATATTGTGATTTCTTGATACCTCAATATACGTAAACTTGCTTATATCAACTTTTGTGGAAACAAAAAAATATTTCCAAAAAACGTAAAGTGCGATTAACGATTTTTAAAAGGATTAAATTGAGATTTTTTGTGAATATGATCCACAAAGTAATCCGAAGCGCATAATAATGCCATGATGTATGCTATGGAAAGTATTAAGATCGAATCCAATGCCGAAAAGTCATGGCGTCCACATTAAAGGGCGCACACTTTGTCATGCTCCAATCACCGGAAAAGGCAATCAAAAAATTAGCCTTCAGTTTGACCGCGACCGCGAAGCTTAGAAATAGTAAACTCGTGAAAATATATAGACAAACGCATGGAATCGATATCATATTCAAAGCAACACTGGCGCGCTTGATAAGCCTGCAGTCGGAACTCATCACAAATAGTCATTCGTCAGCGATTCTCAAAGGCCTCTATCTACACTGTGGACAGACAGACAGACAAACTTAAATCGATTCAGAAAGATTGGGTTTATTTCAAGTTCGTTCGGGTGTTGTAAACATCTTCACAAACACTGCACTAGAAAGAGGCAGAAGAATAAAAAACAAGAATTATCCAATTTGACAACGGCATGCACAGCTTTGCGCTAAGTAATTGCTCAGGCTAAGTAAAAGATCAAAATGGTTCATCGTGAGATTTCAGGACTTTTCAAGCCGCGAGAACTTTTGTATCAAAACAATCATGTTCTTCTCTCATGTTCTTGAGACAGGCACATGTCCGTTTTGATATATATTCTTTAATTTTGGTTTTCTTATTTTGACATTTTTACAATATTTGTTCCAATACCTTGCAATTCAAGAACAATTTTTATTTTTTTTATATTAACAACCAAAAAAATTTGGTTTATCTTTATTGATTGCGTGAAGAATTTCACAAACGGTTAGTTAGCTATATATAGGCAGAAAAAAAGTACAACATTTTTTGTACATCATGATCCGTCCATCTGTCCTTGTGGGAATTCCTCATAACATTCTTTCATTATGAACGCTTACTTGTCACTATTATGTATTTTAGAATGTATGTATGTCAAGTTATCGCTAATGTTGTATTACACTTACTCGTGATCGCCAAATTTTTGCGGCGATAGTAGATTAGTTCTGGGAAAAATCTACAAATTAAACAAATTTTCTGATGACAATTTTCAAAAATATTTTGTTTTATGAATTGCTTTTTAAAATCCTGAAGAAGAGTTTAGCACTGCTTAGTTATCTTATTTAGTTATCTAAGAAAAAGTCTTATGCAATGGATGGCGAGAGCGTGTCTTTAAACGAAAGTTCATTTGCAAAATATTTTTACAAATCTGATGGCAGCAGAAGCTGTAAGTCTTTTGAGAGGTTTATTAAGATTCAATATAAAAATCTCTAGGAAGATGCGATCAAAGTTTTTTGATAAATGCAAATTCGTGATAAAATTAACTAAAGCAAAATGATCAATGATCAACCTTTGACTAAAATAAATAGTTGAGTGAAACTAAAAAAAATTTACCACATGTCCGATTCGAAAAGAATGAATAAATTAATATTTCTCACATTTATTAAGTATGTATTTTTTTCTTTGAAGAGAAGTGAAAATATTGAGACAGAAATAAACTTAATGGCCTAAAGTCTAATCAAATGTTTGATGAAAGGAAAACGATATGTGCTTAAGAAATATGTTTTTTTTTTTTTTTAAGTAAAAAGTAAATACATAATATATGAATAATGAATGATTTTTTTAATATTAAGATTTTACGTAAAGTACACACAAATAAGTAATGCCTCATTTCTTCGGTTGCTGTTCGGATGTTTCATATAGCTGCTTAATAGGGACCATTTGGCGCAGACCAAATTCATGGCCATTTTTCAAAAAAAAAAAATCAACCTTATTTTTATATACTGAATTTTCAACTTTTTCAAGCGTTTCAATTAATTAAATTTATATAAAAACTAAACGTGTACTCAAAGATTGGGTCATGTTTGTCAACTTAATATTTAAAGGTAAGCATTTAGGATTAATCATTTTAATCAAGTTTCTTATTTTTTCTTTTTCTTAGCATTCTTTTCATTTGTAAGCATATCAGTTTTTCGTTTCTGATTAGCTTTAGTTTGTTGGGTTGTAGCCTGTGCCCCGGAATTTTTAGCAGCCTTCTTTTTCTTCTCCTGCCGTTCTTTTTCCTCCAATTCGAGATTCTCTCGTTCAATTAGCGTAATCAACGTGTTACAGCGTCGTTGCAATTCTAAAGCGGTACGCGACTTTATAAACCAATCGAACCGAAATTGTGGAGATGCTCTATCAAAATATATAAGTAAAGTTTTACTTTTCACGGTGATTCAGCTGCTAAACATAATTAATTAATTATAATAATTTGAGCATCAATTTATATAATGCTTGAATGCCAAATTGAAGAATTATTTACTCAGCCTTTAAGAAGCCTTTCTTTAGCTAATAAATGTATATTTGCACTCACCTTATAGCGGCACGTAGCTCCTCGTAAACATTTTCCTTATCAAAACCTAGCTTGTGCAGCATGCATACCAAAAATCGATCTTCAATTTCGGTGTAATTTTTGCCCTTATTATTTCCATATTGTAGACGCAACTGATGGAATGGTGCTCGATAACGTGACATCTGCATTTTTCAAAAAGAAATATTTAAAATACACTTATTTTATATTTAAAAATTTCCGACCTTTTGATCTAATGCTTTTTTAATGGATAAGCGCCGTTGAATTTTAGCTTCACCACGCTCAATTTGCCCCATAATACGTTCAATGTCTTGCAATTCATGGCAACGTTCCCAGAAAACCGCATTATATTCGATAACTTCCTCAGGTGTCTTACCTTCAACATCCTTGGCTATGTTTTCAATATCGTCACGACCATATTTTTCGTTAGCCTTAATAAATTGATTAAAATCACGTTTAGTCCACGTAGTGAAACCCTGCGTAAGCAAAGCCTCTTTTTCGGTCATCTCCTCTTCAGTCAAAGGTTCAGCCTCATCAATTTTACGTTGCTCTTCCCTTTGCACTTTGGAAGCTTCCGAGCCTAACTCGGGATTTTTCGGTACTTTATAGCCCACGGTTTTACGAAAATAGTATATCTCTTGATCGAGTAGTTCAAATAAACGGGGCGGAAAGAATTGGAAGTCTTGGACAATTGGTTGTTTTGGCGGTCTTGGCGCTTTGGGAGCCTTGGGTTCTGAAACTCTTAAAGCTTCGCGAAAATAGGCATCAACGGCATAATTAGCCTTCCGTTCACGTTTAGGTGGCTCGATCCAATTGCCCAAAGCATTTAGCTTATGTTTTTCACGATAATCTTCGCCTTCAAATTGATACACCGAAGTGGAAGCACCAGCTTCACCATTTGTATCCATTGTGAATGTACGTAATGAGCTCTCTCCTAATGAGTCTAGTTTAGCCTTTTCCTCTGCAGTTTTAGCTTCTCCTCTCTCCAATATAGTGTCAATATCTTCATCAGTAAGCTCAGAATCCTTGGAGGCAAAAACATGATTCGCGCCGAAGCGTATGATATTTAACATTTCATCTTTATTCAACTGGTTTCCAGAATTGTTAACCAGGCGTCCTTGTTGTATAACCAGTTTATCTAAACGCAATTTTATCTCGGCCCTTTCGACTATTTTTTCTTCTACTGTGTTCTCCGTAATGAAGCGAAAAACACGCACTTGTTTCTTTTGACCAATGCGATGAGCGCGATCCATTGCCTGCAAGTCCATTTGGGGATTCCAATCAGAATCGTAGATGATGACCACATCGGCTGTGGCTAAATTTATACCTAAACCACCGGCACGAGTCGACAACATGAAAATGAATTTGGTACTATTGTCCATATTATAATCTTGAATTTGGCGATTTCGATCTTCATGGGGAGTCTGTCCGTCCAAACGACAATATTGATAATTACGCCACAAACAATAATCTTCTAATATATCCAACATTCTAGTCATTTGGGAAAATATTAAAACCCGCGAGCCTTGAGCCTGTAGTTTTGGCAACAATTTATCAAGAATAACCATTTTACCAGAATTATTAACCAAATGAGTATCGGTAGTGTAAGGTGGACCGGGCTCAGCCCCATCGAACAAATAAGGATGGTTGGTACATTTACGCAGCTGCATTAAAATATTTTGTAATCGCATCTTTTCCATCTTACCAGCTCCATTAACAATGTCGATATCTTTCATCAACACTTTAGTATACCATTCTCTCTGCATTTTCGAAAGTCCTACAAATATTTTAATTTCTTTTTTCGGTTTCAACCTCTTCTCGACTTCCGATTTCAAGCGTCTCAAGAGAAAAGGTTTCAAAACAGCATGTAAACGCTGAATTAAAGCATCATCACCTAAACACGTATTAGTGTTAAACCATGAATCGAAATCTTCAGAGGAATTAAAGACATCAGGCAATAAGAAATTCAGCAGAGCCCACAGCTCGTGCAAATTATTCTGCAAAGGCGTGCCCGTAATCAACAAACGATTTGCAGTTTTAAATTCGCGCAATATTTCTGATAACTTGGATTTTTCATTTTTTATACGATGAGCTTCGTCGATAACCATGTAACGCCAATTAAACTTTTTGAAAACTGATTTTTCACGTATACACATTTCATACGAAGTGACGCATACATCCCATTCACCTGGCAACAAAATGTCTCTAATGAAAGTATTTCGTGCATCTTGATCACCGATAAGGCAAACAGCACGAAGGGAAGGACACCATTTTTTGAATTCATTCACCCAGTTTTGAAGAGTGGATTTTGGTACAACCACAATATGTGGGCCGGCTTGATTCCTATAAAATTAGTATAATGATTTCATTACATGTTACAATTTTTAAATAGAATTATCAGACGTACTTGAAATGTTTCAAATATCCTAACAGGGAAATCGTTTGCAATGTTTTACCCAAACCCATTTCATCAGCCAGTATTCCATTGATGCCATTTTCGTATAAGGAAATCATCCAATTTAAGCCACGTACCTGGTAGTCGCGCAGCTCGCCATTCTTAATATAACTGGGTGATGCTTCGAAACGAAATAACTCTTTTGTTTGCGTATCTTCCGCCAGAAGTTCTTCATCTTCCTCTTGTTCTGTCTTGCGATGACGATGACTGAAGCCAACAACAAAAACCACAAATATATAATGAATAAAATTAAGTACAACGTTCTAATAAATTTATGAACACTTACTCAGTATTTGAAGGTTCTTTAATCTTTTTGGGTCTCCCCTTCGGTTTTGTAGGGCTTTTTGCACTGTTAGTCATAAAATGTGTGAATATTTCAGTCTGCTTCAATAGAAAATCAAACCGTTTGCTACGATCAGTTTCAATTTTATTATCAAACTCGACTTCCTTTTCTGCCGAGGAGGAAGTATTTTCTGAATTGGTTTCATTCTAAGTGAAAAATGTAAACAGAAATTAAAAGCCGGAAAAATATTAGAACACAGCTGGCCAATCGGCGTCTTTTTCTTGGGCAAGTTCGATGCTTTGTTTTACGAACCACAAAAAATTTTCTTACCGAATTTTCCTCGTTACCCTCAAGCTCCTCAGTTTTTCCTTCATCTTTAGACATGTTTTCTTAATTATTTACTATCTTCTTTTTTTAATTTCAAAATACTTTCATGAATTTAATTACTTTCTTCCTTAGACAGCACAAACCAACTCGCACACTTGCACAATTTTTTGTGAAAAGTGCAGAGATACCGTAACATTCACTTATTTTCGAATTGTTATTAGTAAGTATAAGACGGCATTGGGGATTTAATTTAAATATTAAGGAATCAACCAACAATCTGTCATATCAGGTCAGCGGCCGTATATTTTAGCAGCCTTACTCTATACCTATAAATTGTAATTTCTCTTAGAAGTGCAAGATAGGTAGAGTATATTGTAATTTCTCTTAGAAGTGCAAGATAGGTAGAGTATATTTTTCCCTGTGTTATTCTCGCCTTAATCCCCCACTCTGTCTTGTAAACAACGCATGATTTTTTTTTAAATTTCATTCTTTACAAACAAATTCAGCTTAAGTGATAACAGAGAAAACTAAAGGGGCTAACACAATGCGGCATATTTTCGTTTTCAGGTTAAAAGCTCCCAAGTGGCCAACACTATGTACCCGCCCTATCATATAACTTTACATTAAAAGAAATAAAAATTGGTGAATACAATCAATCGGGACAAAACCTTTATATCTCGAATGGCTAAGTTTGCTTCTCCAAAGTTTGTTAGGTATCTGGAATACACCGTTCGAAGACACACTTTCATGGCGGCGAGCACGGTTAGTCCGGCATTCAGCAGTTTGCCTGTCTAGATCGGTCACGATAGCTCGGGCAGGACACAGCGCACTTGCTTTGCGTGGCGGTCTGAATGGACGATACACAAGATTAATGTAAAAGCAAATCAAATTTTTGATTGATTACAGAGATGGACGTAAACATAGGCTTCACTAACGCAATTAAATAAAGTAAATGAATTATTTTAGGGAGCTGAAGAAATGGCGTATCATTCCTATTGTCGAGTTGGGAGTTAACTTTTTACAGAACTTTATGGGAACTGACAAATCATATGGGCTTGGACGTGTACATACAAAAACAGAAAGAAAACAACTCACAAAAAGAAAAAAAAAGCAATTTGTTTTAAAGTTAGAGACCATTTAAATAATTTATATTTATCTTACACCAATCATGCATTATTTTGTACGAAATGAAAAAAACCAATAAAGACTATTTTTTTTAAAGTTAAAAAATGTCCATCAATTTGTTATTTGTTTGTAGTGTCCAAATTATGAATTAAGATGTACAACAAAGGTCTCCCGATGGTGGCTGTGCTTGCGGTTGCTAAATTTTTCCACATGAATCCGCATGTTTTGTAAATAAATTTGCGCACATTTGAAAAATCCATTTTAACTGAAAGAGAGATATTTTAGGCACTATCACCATGGGAAGTCATAATTCATTCGAATGAATTTAAATATATCTCTCATAAAGAAATACTTACACAAGCGAATTGAACTTTTATGAAGCTGCTCTTCGAAAAATTCATATAACAAATCAAAACCGCCCGATTTCATCCTTACAGTTTCTTGAAATTTTTCATAGTCATTTAGATACATTTGCTAAAACAATGTCGTAAAACACTCCGTCACATCACGTGGTTCTAAAAATTGGTCATTCGCTTAATTTTTTTATCTAATCAATCTTCTTTCTTTTGTTTGCTTTTATATTAATTTCTGTATTGTTATTTTTTTATAAACTCGTTGTTTACGTTTACGTTGTTTTTTCTTTTCTTAGTTCTAAAACCATACGCTTTTGTTTATTCTTTCCGATAAAACAAGTCGGTAGAGCGGCTGTTCAGCACTTGCGTCTTTTTAACGCGAACACGAAAATAATGCCTCTTTACATCAACTCTCTAAGGATCATTTTTCTTCGTTTCTTATATCATTAATTAATCAAAAATTTAATTTGGTTTCGCGTTAACTTTTTTACCGGATTTCCTTATATCTTCTTATCAAATAATACGGTAACTCGGTTTGGCATTGTGCTTACCACTTGGGTCTTATCATCCCAAAAATCGGAATAACGCATTATTTTGTGAAGACCCTAGAATCACATGCAATAGAAATTGAACATGGCATCAAAAACTATAATGGGAAAGTCAGCTGGTTAATTTAGGCAGTAGAAGGAATCGAGTTAAATTTATCAATTTTGCAAAATGTTGTTAATGAAAAGATTTTGTTGTGGCTTTCAACGCATCAATGCTATTACAAAAACAAGGCAGCCCGGTGATACTTTGGAAGTGAGAGTACGTCATTGAATTAAACTATTTCTTATTGTCAAAAAAAAAAAAAGGTTTTATCTGGCAGCATTACTTTGTATTTACATAGGGTTGGATCAAAAGTGTAAGGCGCTTAAAGAACAATGTATTTTTTGATATCAGCGACGGTTCTACAATGCAAAAATTTCAAATTGTTGTTCCAAAAAGTGAACAATTGAAAACCATATCTGCCGGCAATTTGGTGAAAGTTGTGGGTCAATTGCAAGTGGCACCGCAAGGTCACTACGAATTGCATGCTAACAGCTTGGAAACTATAGGTGTAAATATTAACTAAAATTGCAAGATCTAAATCAAAAACATTGAAATTTCGATAATGGGAAAACTTTTAGCGGAAGGAAACTTAAATTCTGGATATCCCTTTTCTCCAAAACAGCAACATGACCCAGAATATGTCAGAGAATATTTGCATTTAAGGTCTCGCACTAGTTGTACGGCAGCAATTATGCGTTTAAGACATAAAGCTCAAATGGCGTTGCACGAGTTTATGGACAAACATGATTTTATACATATCAACACGCCCATACTAACTACTAATGACTGCGAAGGCGCTGGAGAAGTAGGATATAATGTAAACTAGAGTAACATATAACGAGTAATTCTTCTTTCAGGTCTTTACGGTGCAACCCGACTCCAATGAACTCCTTAAACAAATGTCACGTCCTTCTGTTCCTTTAAATCAAAGTTATTTTGATTCCAAAGTTTATCTCAGCGTTTCAGGTCAACTGCATTTAGAATCCATGTCTTATGGTTTGGGCAATACATACACAATAAGCCCCGCATTTAGAGCGGAAAACTGCAAATCTCCTTTACATTTGTCTGAATTTTACATGTTTGAAGCTGAATTGGTATTTATAGAAAATCTCGAGGAACTTTGCCGTTTCATTGAAAAAATGATTAAAAGCGTGACAAATGACATTCTAAAATCTAGTGAGGCTGATATTCAATACTGTCAAAATCAGACTGTGAGAGAAAACTTTAATCTTCAGTGGCTACGAGATGCTTGGCCAATATTAAGCTATAATGAAGCTTCTGATATAATCCTTCGAAATAAAGAAAAATTCAAGACTGCTGTTAAATCTAATGAAGGCTTTTCGAAGGAACAAGAACTATTTTTAGTCGACTACTGTAAGGCTCCCGTATTTGTGGTGAACTGGCCAGCCGCCCAGAAGCCCTTTTATATGAAAATTTCACGCGAAGATCCTTCAAAAGTACATGCTTTAGACTTGCTTATGCCGGTGGTAGCAGAACTATGCGGAGGTAGTTTGCGCGAATGTGACGTAAATCGATTGCAGGAACATCCCCATTTCCCTGAAGGCTTAGAATGGTATCTGGAATTGCGAAAGTTTGGAGGTTTACCGACCGGAGGTTTTGGGATGGGATTTGAGCGCTTTCTGCAATTACTAACTGGAGTGAAAAATATTAGAGACGTTATACCATTTCCTAGATATCCTCATAGTTGTAAAATGTAAAAAAATAAAGTTCAAATTAAATGCTAATTCAATTTAGAAAGTATATCTTAGTAATTGGCTACTACCTTGCAAGCTTGCTTTATCGTTAATGCTCTAAATGCTCAAGGCAGTATCTCTTATGTTTTTGGTGTCGATAGAAGCGGTGCCTTTTTTTACTTCTAATTACAGTCAAAAAAGTATATATTGCGACTAAAATTTTCAATAAAGAATTTTTTTATTTTTCGCCTGGTCGGCTGAGTGGGTGAAGGGTCTCGATTACTCAATGACCGGGGCGATGAAATCCTTTTCCTTGAATGCCCTAGAGGCGCTATTGCTTTAGAAAACGAGACTTGCCTGAGTGCACGTAGACTGTCGAATATCGGCAAATTAAAAATGGGAAATCTGGGGCATCCTAGGTGTATTAAAAAACGTCATGGACGGGCAAACTTTTGCACTCTGCACTCTGGGTGGGATTAAGGGATTGGTATACCGACGGTTCAAAATCGGAAAATGCAAATCTTGGGCTGCGGTTTGTTGCCCGACTTTTCAGAAAGCCGTATATAGGCTGAATGTTTAAGAAGACAGAGTGGATCTGCATTTACTCAGTCAAGTCCGTAAAGGGGAGAATGATAACATCTAGGCTTGTGTTGGAGTGCCATCAAACACTGAAAGAGCTAGGCAGACGCGATCATGTGCACCTAATATAGGTGCCTGGCCATTCGGGTGTTGAGGGTAACGAAAGGATTAACTATCTGGTCAATAAAAGAGCCCGAGGGATCATGTTAGGTCTCGAAGCTGTCTGTGGCGTACCAAGGAGTTATATTAACAGGCTGCCGTCGCTATGGGCACAGGGGGAAATCGGATAAAAAGTAAAATGCACTGAATATGCACATGTGATTTGACAACCGAAGAAGATAACTATTTTTTTATAAAATAATCAATAAATTATTATTAATGTTATATTTAATTTAGCCAAAGAAATAAATTCTAAAACTAAAGCACTATCATTTAAAGCTATCGACCTCATTGAAGACGCTGCCGCATGTATAGCTCAAATGAAGATACATTATCAGCCTAAAAATGGGTTACTTTTAAAATGATTATGGTAGACACCGCGATTACTTCTTTCTTAATAATATTAGCGATATATATATCAAATAAAGAACTTGATGAGTAGAATGCGAAAAGCATTTGTAATAAAGATTTGATATAATAATAGTATATAAAAAACAAAAAATTAACATTTTAAATATAATGAGATAAAATAACAAAAATATAAACAATAAAATGAAATTTATAAGAATCCATTAGAAATAAGTGACAATGTTTTAAAAATGGCATAGTTTTTGCTACTGATTTATGTTATTTGTAGTTCTTCTATAGTTAGCGCGGTTGTTCAAAAGGGTCGTATGGAACTACCTATGGACTGTGAATTGCCCTACAAAAGTATTGTCGCGTGCAAAATGAGCTTAGCACTAAGAAGTCCTTTTAGCGAATTTTTCGTTTTTTGCTTCCAACGTTATTCTCTTTATTAGCAAATACATCAGATTTACGTTTGTGACCATTAGTTTGTTGGGTTCTAGCTGACGTTTCAGAACTTCTAGTCGTCCTATTCCGTTCTCTTTTTTTCTTTGCGAAATCCTCCTGATCAATCATTGTGACTTGCCCTTGCGGCTTCAAAATACCAGAAGAGCTTTCGGTCAGCGTATCTAGTTGGAGCGTATCTTCACCAGTCTTAATATCGATCCTCGCAAGGAGAGCATCAATGTCGTCGTCAGTGAATTCAGACTCTTTAAGAGCGGAAATATGGTTCGCACCAAAGCGCATTATTTCTATTATTTCGTCTTTTTTCAAACTATGGCCAGCACTGCCACGCAGAAGTCCTTCTTGTATAACTAATTTGTCTAAACGCAACTTTGCCTCCGCCCTTTCGACTATTTTTTCTTCTACCGTGTTCTCCGTAATGAACCGAAAAACACGTACTTGTTTCTTTTGGCCAATGCGATGAGCGCGATCCATTGCCTGCAAGTCCATTTGGGGATTCCAATCTGAATCGTAGATGATGACCACATCGGCTGTGGCCAAATTTATGCCTAAACCACCGGCACGAGTCGACAACATGAAAATGAATTTGGTACTGTTGTCCATATTATAATCTTGAATTTGGCGATTTCGATCTTCATGGGGAGTCTGTCCGTCCAAACGACAATATTGATAATTACGCCACAAACAATAATCTTCTAATATATCCAACATTCTAGTCATTTGGGAAAATATTAAAACCCGCGAGCCTTGAGCCTGTAGTTTTGGCAACAATTTATCAAGAATAACCATTTTACCAGAATTATTAACCAAATGAGTATCGGTAGTGTAAGGTGGACCGGGTTCAGCCCCATCGAATAAATAAGGATGATTGGTACATTTGCGTAGCTGCATTAAAGTATTCAACAATCTCATCTTTACCATCATACCTACTCCATTAATAATGTCAAAATCCTTCATCAATATTTTAGTATACCATTCCCTCTGCATTTTCGAAAGGCCTACAGATATTTTAATTTCGTTTTTCGGCTTTAGCCCATTTTCCACTTCTAATTTCAAGCGTCTCAAGAGGAAAGGTTTCAATACGGCATGTAAACGCTGTATTAAAGCATTATCACCTAAACACGTATTAGTGTTAAACCATGAATCGAAATCTTCAGAGGAATTAAAGACATCAGGCAACAAAAAATTCAGCAAAGCCCACAATTCATGCGAGTTATTTTGAAAAGGTGTGCCCGTTATCAATAAGCGACTTTGTGTTTTAAATTCACGCAACGTTTCTGATAACTTGGATTTTTCATTTTTTATACGATGCGCTTCGTCGATAATCATGTAACGCCAATTAAACTTTTTGAAAACTGATTTTTCACGTATACACATTTCATACGAAGTGACGCATACATCCCATTCACCTGGCAACAGAAGTTTTTTTAGCAAAACCTGGCGCTCATCCTTTTGACCTATCAGGCAAACGACGTCTAAAGATGGACACCATTTCTCGAATTCATTCAACCAACTTTGAAGAGTCGATTTGGGTGCGACAACAATGTGAGGGCCGCCTTGATTCCTGCAAAAATGAATGCAATTATTCAGTCATTTGCGACAGTGTTACGTTCAATTTTAAACCTACTTGACATGTTTCAAATAGCCCAACATCGAAATCGTTTGCAAGGTTTTACCTAAACCCATTTCGTCAGCCAGTATGCCATTGATGCCATTTTCGTATAAGGAAATCATCCAATTTAGACCACGTATTTGATAGTCGCGCAATTCGCCATTTTTAATATATGGCGGTGAATTTTGGAAATTGAATAACTGTTTGATTTTCTTTTCTGTTCGTTCCTGATGCCTATATCAAGAAAGAAGCGTACGCATGTCGAAAAGTTAAATTTGTATTAGCGTGTTTAATAAAGGCTTACTCTACTACACTTGGGGATTGTTTGTCTTTTTTTTGTTTTCCCTTTGATTTTGTAGGATTTTTCACATTGTTACTCATAAAATGCGTAAATATTTCAGTTTGTTTCAATAAAAATTCAAAGCGCTTGCTACGATCAGCCTCTATTTTGCTTTTAAACTCCAATTGGTCCACGGCTGAAGAAGAGGTATTGCCTGAATTAATTCCATTCTGATTGCAATAAAGAAAGTAAAGAATAACGTGGAATACTTTAAAACAATTCACGCAAATACTTTTGTAAAAATTAATCTCACCAAATCTTCCTCATCTGTGCCAATGTCCATTTCTTTCCCACTTCGATATACTTCCATTTTGCGATTATTTATTTGAAAAAAATTTACCGCGAATTCTTCCTTATAAATGTAATGATGCCAACGCCTTTAAATAGAGGTTAAAAAGGAAAAAACGCGTTTTCATGTGACGAAATAACAAAACTTTAAAGTTGGCAAAGCATAGTGCATACTGTGCTGCAAAACACTGCGGCTGTAGCAAAGTATAGAGTTTGAAAAACTGAAAATTTTGTTTACTAATTACTAGTGATTAATAAAACGGACAATTTTTTAACGTTTATCAAATAACCGTATATTATAAACAGACATGCCTTACGTAGGCATACACAAGCAAATTATTTTTTCACAGTTGGTGCATGATCGACGATGCAAAACAGTAATTGTTTTAGGGCTTAAGCAATTACCTGATATTCGAAAGCGTAAAAGTTGATTTCAAAGTTTATTAAATCTCTTAAAATATAGCCAAAATTGAAAATTAATGAATGTTTTGAAAAACTTTTGAAAGAAAAAGCATAAATTTTTGTTTCCTCTTTTTCTTTTTGATCAATAAAAACAGATTCAAACAAGGCAAAGATTTTAAAATTCAAATCAACGTAAAGTTGCTCATATACAACAAAGTATTTGGAAATCAATTTTTTTGCTGACATGTGCGAAAATATGGAGTAGTATTCGGGAAAATTTCTGCAACTGGCTTACCTTGCCCCTTTATTTCCATATTCGCTTAATTGTACCTATATCTTTGTAGATATCAGGTATTTGCAAAAACTTTGATCACTTCTTCACTTGAAAAGGGTATTTTTTGTGGAAAATTGCTACTATTTATATTAATCAAAATAGTTTTCATCATTTTTTACAACATTTTACAATATTTTTGGCAACATGGCGATCTCATGTCGGAAGAACTTAAGTTGATATGGCAGCGATCAACTCACCAACCCATTTTCGCATTTCTTCAACTTTGCGAATCACGTGCCAGCCAAGACATACTGTATCAATATGAACAACTGGTAATCAGGAGGCGTCATGTCTGATGAGTAAGCTGGGTATGGTAGAATTTTCCTTTCAAACTGCAATAGTGCATCTTGGGAAACTCTTGCAACAAGTGGCCAAAAATGGCATTTTCAGCCAGTTCGTGTCGCCACTTTTAAACCTTTCAACCCAAAACCAACAACCCAAACCCAAAACCATTCAAACATTCTCAATTGTATGGAATCTTTATACAAATTACTGAGAACATATGCGCTTATTCTCGCATCGATGGCTTTTTTATAAAGAGACCTGTTGAATGATTGAGAACGAATATGCGCTCATTTTCTAAAGGCGTACAATACATGTAAAGAAATTTATTCAACAATTGGGTTATCATAGAGCAGCACCACCATAAGCCTCTGAACGTGTTTGGTGGGTTTCGGGAGTCGATTTCTTCCAAGACAGAGTGGCAGACACACAGGCGGACGGACAGACTGACTGACTGACTGAATAAATGACATCCCGACAGACAAACTGACTGACTGACTGACTTGCAAACAGACAGGAAGACTGAATGACTGACTGAGTGACTGAAATTTGGAGGAAGAAGTATTTTGAGGTTCACATGATGAGCGTCGGCGTACGCGGCATGAATCTATACTATTAAATGGCTACCTGTTATTTTATACAGAGGAATCATCGAACTTAACCGTTACATACAAAGAATTTACATTTCTTTATTATTTTCCCTGTAGAAGTCAATGATCAAAATTTTTACAAACCCCTAATAAGTTTCATTGCAAAAATGTATGTAATGTATTGTACAAACATATACTGCAATTAAAGAAGACGATTTTTATTAAGATGATTTTTATTAAATTGCAATGCAAATTTTTTTTCGTTTTCTTTCTGCCGTCGCATTGGCAATTTACGTGGCGAAAGAAAGCTCTTATTTCAATAGATATCCTCCTTGTAAACGCGTTATGTTTTTCTTCTATGCATACAATGAATAGCATTAGTTTGCAGCGATGGGTTAGAAGGATCAAAAATAAACGTGGAGCCCTTGAACTTTTCGCACATGAAATTCGTATGTAGTAGTTTATATAAATCTACAAACATTATTTTCTCCTTAGTTAATATCTAATAATAAATTGATTCGTTCTTTCTAGGCTGATAATAAAGCCTATTCCTTAGATAAAAATGAACAGCAAGATAAAATGGATAAACTCAGCAAAAGGTGATCTTAGTCGCCAAATGCAAGAGCTACTAGCAATATGTTGGTGCCCGTGGCACAGAGTTTAGTTGGATTTATATTAATGCCTGGAGTCTAGCGTTTTACTGGTAAATTGGAAGATACATTTTAGTTGAATTCATCTATATTTGATTTTTCCTGTTAGATACAACATATAACAACAGCTGTTTGAAGGCTTGAGGCCAGTTAATGTATTACTTGTTAAGATTAGTTTGGTTGTTGTCTTTATTATAATTAAAATTAAGTAATGTATTCTAAATTAAATAGATTATCAGAAATATTCTATAATTTAAGCGAATTTTCATCTACGGTTTACAGTCATTTGCAATCGTCAACAAGTTTCACTAGTTTTTACCATAAGATAAATAGCGCAATAGGCACTTTAAGCAATATTAATGTCCAATAACAGTAAGGGAACCGCTGCAATTGTTTACATTAACATTTACTAAAATATGGAGTTTTTACCAGAATTTCCGACATACGTTAACAGAAACGAAGTGTTGCAATTTATTGTAAACAATTCCTCCTGACACTTTTATATATATTGCACCGGTCTTCTTCTTGATGCTTATAAATATATTGTGCCGGTCTTCTTCTTAATGCTTATAAATATATTGTACCGGTCTTCTTCTTCCTCGTAGCTAAACTACACCACGTGAACAATCGCTTAATTTCATGTCACGGCAAGCAGTTCCTTTCGGTTTTAAAACGTATGCCGGTGTTACTTCTGAAGTCGAAGTCTATTACTTTGAATTTTTTTTTTTTTTTTTAAGTAAGCTAGAGCGACTTCTATGATCATATTTGATTCCGGAAAAGCATGTGAGAGACCACACTAGAGGACTCAAAAACATTACCAAAAATTTAAAGCCTAGAACGTTCGTAAAAGTCTAAAAGCAAACCAAGCAATCTCCCTGCCTACGAGACTTTTCGAGCCTCTTCGCGTCATCCAGATTACAGCGCTCTTGTAGCTTCTCCAAAAAAAAGCCTAAAGCTGTTAAGATTATAAATACAATGTAAAACACAAATTTTTTATGAAAATTTTTAACCGAAATTCTTCTTGCCTTGTCTTCTTGCTTAGGTAAAAAAACACAGTAAACTTAATATGGTACAAAATCTTCGTTTTCCCAAAATCAGTGATTTAAGGGACCTCTATCCCTACTTCGTAAACTATTTTATTGCACTTCCAACACTTTTCGGGCTTTTTCTTTTCTAAGCTTTCCAAAAAAAAGTTATTAAGATTGAAAGATATATTTCTCCATTCAACGTTCATTTCACCGTTGCATCGATTATGTAGTTTTATGTAACAAGCAAAAAAAAAAAAAAATTTAGTGCCGTGATAATACTTGAAAGTGATTTCTTTAGCAATTTCTTTGCAAGCTAGCAGAACCAAGTCCATCTAACCCTTCATTCTTGTAATGTGATTTTGGTGTTTTCGGTATCAGTGGTCGTAGCATTAGATAGGAGAATTGAAACTGGCTCTTTATTATTCCTTAGCACACTCCATATTCGTTCCTGTTTTTTTTGTCACGACCTGATGGATTAATTTTTTCGTAATACTACCAACGACATGGTTATCAAATATACTGCTCCGGAAGTACGCACACAAGTGGGATAATTTGCTTATTTTTATAATTGACTGGTTAGCATCGCAATGTTTTGCTAATGAGTTATTTGCATGAAGATGGATTACATTATCTTGGACAGGCGCGCACAACATAAACAGTCCAAACATAACATCAACAATACTAATAAAAAACGTAGGAAATATTTTTTTCGTGCTAGTTGGGTTGAAAATTGGGGGTTACATATATTACAAGTTGCCTAAGGGTATAAATATTTTAAAACAAGACGAAAGCTGACCCCCTCGTTACAGAGCCCTTTTATGTTTAAAAATGAAGCTGTACAAAACGCCTTCCATTTTCTTCGCAGTTCTATTTTAAAGACAATTGAAAGATTCCAGTCGTAGTTCCATAACGCATTTAAATTTACTTGTATATACATTGATACATAATATATGAAATATATATATATATATCGATTACGGATTGTAAGAGTATGTTGTTCTAATTTCTTTTACAACGATAACAATATTGTTAAATAGATTTTTACAAAATAATATGAGAAGAATTAATTCTAATTTACAATCGAGTGTATACAATAACACGTGCTCGGAAAAGGGAGAGGCGAATTTATAAATTGCAGACATGGGAAAGGAATTTTTTTTATATAAACTATATATTTGGAATGAAGACAACAAACACTGTAATAATAATTCAAAGCAAATGAATTTAAATTTTTTGGATTAAATGTTTTATGGAATTATAGGCAGATGAAAAGAGTAATCCCACATCTTTAATAGCATCCGCAGTACATTTATCAAAAAGTGGAAGTCAAACAGTGCATTTATTCCAACTGCCCCAAAAACTTTTTCTCTTAATACGTAACAGCAGCTTTCTTTTAAACCGGGTAACTACGCTACTGTGTTAATCATTACTTCAGGGAGGTTTATTCGTATCCAATCAGTTTTTTATGGAAAACATCTGAGCTATTTTGCTAGCCTGACATTTTAGGAAATCATAACTTTGTTTCACACCCTTTTTAAATGATTCTGCTTTACTGACAGTCTGCGCTGGATGATGGTGCTGCTGTTGCTGCTGTTCAAGATTGGATTTTGTCGTGATAGATAGAACTGCCGGCGTTGGACTTCGAACGAGAGCGACATGTTTGTGATTAGGAAACATATTACATAAAACAAAATTGAAACCATTGGCAGTTTTTAGGCAATTCGACTTAAATCGTTCGACACCAAAAGCTCTTATAGCCCGGGAGAAGCCAAAAACTTGTGAACTAATGTAAGCATGACGAATAGCTAAGGTGCGCCCGTCCTTCTGCTCGGTATATTCGACAATTTCATCAACTTTCTGTAAGAAAAATTTGTTATTCCCCGGTTTACAATGCTTTGAAGCGATTGAAGTGAAAAACATACCATAATTTTTTTCATGCCAATGTTTCGCGTGAATGTGGTTAAAGTTTTGTTCTTCGGATCCAAAATAGAATCTTCAATTATTTTAATTGGAGTATTTTTATAAAAACGTTCACCCCATTTAGGCACATGATTAGTTTTAGAGAGTATACGCCGCGAATACAGCTTACCGTCACGCACTTCCCGAGAAATTGTGTCTTCTGTTAATACATGATTACTAAAAAACTCCACTACTTATAAGCAGTTCTTAATACTGGAAGAAATAAAGAAAACCTACCTGGAGGGATTGGGATAACGATTCCAAAATGCCTGCACCACTTGCTTCCATGAATAGTCAAACACAGTTTCAGTGCAGCAATGGGATGAAACAACCATAATTTATGCAAGATCTTCAAAATGTCTGCAAATAACAGGTATTAATATAATTTTATAAACAATGTTCGGGCAACATCAGTTCATTAACACTTTATTATCTGTCCAAACACAAAGCGAAACTGTTTTTGTTTTACATAACAATAACCCTGAATTGAAATAAATCCAATAAATGGCTAAAAATAGATTTAGATGTAGGTTATAACAATCATATCATGGTAATATATAATTTAATACAAATGTTTTCGAAAAGAAATGGCATGGAAATACCTAGAAAAGTATCTTAAGGTGTGATAACAAAAGTCCAAAAGTATCTTTGGCTACATATAATATTGACGCTTCTGGAGAAAAAAGCCTTTCAAAGTTCTCGTAAGTTTTTTCCAATAAAAAAAAAATTGATTCACTTCCCCTTGCGTTACCTTACCAGTGTTTTTGAAATTATACTTTTACAGCCGTTCTTTTCAGCTTTTTCAGCTTAGTGTTATTATATTTTTCCGTTTGTTTTGTAAGGTCTTTCTTCTCGAATCGAATTTTTTCTTTAATCACGAACTCCAAGAATTATATTACACAATCGAAACGTAACGCCATGCAGCCAATCTTCGGCGGAGTTATATCCTTTAAAATCGTTCGAATGCAATTACTCCGGGTTAAAGGAATTTTTCCGCTGTATTCATTAAATTTTAATTTAAAAATTATACATTTTTATTTTTAATATCGTTCCAATTAAATTTAAAATATTTTTATTCCGCGAATTAATGTCACGACAGAAAACTTCTGTCGAAAATTTTTTTATAATTTGCTTTTGCTTTGTTTCCATAACATATTAGAGATGAGACAATTGTTTAATTGTATCGATATCATAGCAGTGACTAAGCTGCCTATTCGAATTTCAAGTTAATTATAAAGGTTTTTGTGAAGCTTAAGATAAATTTTGTACACGTTATATGAACACTTTTTTGATCGATCCTTGAGATAATTACTTAGTAGTACGTAGCAAAATTGATTTAGTGATATCTACCCACCTAAGTGCGTGTTCAAATTTGTTTCGAAATTAAACTCGATCTGAAATATTTATTTTCTTTTCATTTTTGATAGATGAATTTCCGAAAAACAGTGCAAATTAGTCATAAATCATTATCTCAAAATTTACGTGTTTTAAATGTTTCATTCCAGCCTGCAGATTCGGCCATAACAATCAAAAAAGCTTAATAAAATTATAATTATAAGTATCTACATTGAATCATCGTATATTAAATGTACTTTGAACTGTTTTTTAATCGAATGTGATGATGTGTGGTTATGACAGGTTTGTAGAGCGTATTAGTTTGGTTATGACAGGTTGGGAGAAGGTATTAGTGTGATTATGACAGGTTGGTGGAAGGTATTTTGATCATAATTCATGCAAGTGTGGTATGATTGGTCTGTAGAAGCTAATTGTTTTATATGAACTTCAAAGCAAATCCAATTCAAAAGCAATTAGGAAGACATCTAATAAGGAATCCATTATAAGCATTGAAATTAAACCAAAGCAAAACTCAAAATTATTGAATAAAATTTTCAAATAAACCTATTAAATAAAATTTTAGTTATCGAAAATCCAAAAATAATTTATAGTTATCAAATATTTAAAGTGTAAAAAATTTTTAGTGCATTTTTAAAAAAAAATATATTTGCATTAACTGGTAAGTGGGTTTGTTATTACTTATAAATCATTCTTTATAAAGGAGACCCATCTGAAATGCTGCTAGTTTCGTTGGTGTCTCCGTATGAAATCATATATTGTTTTATTCAGTAATGAAATTTTAGAATAGGTTTTTGCATTTAGTCAAATTTTTTTTTGGTTTACATTTTTAATATTTGCGGTATACAAACAAGAAGGTGCTCCGCCATATTGTGTTTGAAGTTTGCAGACCAAAAAGTTACATTTAACTGCAGAAAAATACCCTGCACATTGTTTGTGAAAAAAATTGTACAGACACATGTGCACACATATATAGTAAAATATTTTACATTATTTTAATATTTTTTCATATTTATTGAAGCAATTTTTATTTATAAGCAAATATCAATTGATATACTCGTATTCCATTTCTTTTTTACTCTTTCATATCACATCTTAAGGCCACAATTCCTTGCGCTATTCTTATTAAATTATAATAACTAAATCTCTATTGATATACTCATGTTACTCATGTCACATGCAAACAAGCTCGAAATCACAGTCTAAAAAGAATTACTTTTAAATTTGTTGTTGGTTGTACATTTGTGCATAGAAGAAGTAGTAGTAGTAACCATTTGTAGCTAGGTTAATAACGTTGCCAGGTTGTATCATCTCGATCGTTTCTTTTAGTCTAAAAATTTATATCATTAGTCTAAAAATGTAATTCATTTGTCTAAAAATATCTTGTGTTCATTTAAAGTTTACAAGGTGTAAATAAATATATTTGTATATATATTCAAGTGGTTTAGGTTTCTTATAAACTTTGCATAATTAATTATCTCATATAAATCGTAATTAGAAAATTGTCCGTTATTAGTAAAAAATGCCTTTTTTGTAATCGTTCGTTTTGTGTGTATGTATTCCCAACGATTTGCTGTGAACAACAGATGAATAGCTTCGTAGGATATCTGTTTTTTATTAGTGAGATAAGAATTCATTGTTTGACCAATATTTGATTTACGTTCCTGAAATCGTTTGACCGCGATCTGGAGAAACTCATCTAGTAGACGATTATTTGCCAGAGCGATCACATCCCTCAAAAACAATAACAATCCCTCGTTTACTGGCTGAGCTCGTACCCATGCCGTTTTATTTATTTTTATTAATTAATTTTAAGATTTACTTAAGAGTCAATTGAACTCGACTGCCATTTTGTTTTAGTTGAGTTTCTTGTATAGGTGGAATAAAATAAATAAATAAATAAATTTCTTCCTTTTTTTTTTGGGGGCAGCTGTAGGGAAACCTTTGATTTATGAAAAGAGAATATTTCGTTTACCTTATAATACAATACAGTTTTATATATTCGATCTGCTACTGTTAAATCTGAGTAGGTGATAAGATTTCGAAAGATGGTCCTATATTTAATTTTTGAATAGACAATTATTTATTTTTAATTGGTTTATTTTGTTTTTCAAACATTTTCAGGTTCTATAATTAATACATATATATATTTTATACGTATTTATTATTACTTATTGTTTTAATTCATTTAATTTAAGTATATATGGCCAACATAGCAAACGAAATTTTTAGTCAGTTGTTGAGGGAGCACCCCAAATTGTGGGGTGATAAACGAAGGAGGACTTGCATGGTAGAATGCAAGAGACTGGCAGATAGGCTGACGGAGACAACGGGGCGGTTAGTGACAGAACAGACAGTTTCACAAAAAATTAGAGCAATTAGACGTTACTTGAGGGATTTAAATAGCAGTAGAAGTAGCAAAATCTCAAAGTTGGGAGATTACATATGGTATGCTAGGGAATTGGGATTGACGAGGGCGGAGGAAAGACTGACAGATCAATTGTACCGGGGAACTGGGCATACAATAATTATCAAGGAGGAATTAGAAGAGAATATAGAAGAAAGTTTAGGAGAGACCACAACACGGACAAGGCCATCAAGCCCAGTACGTATAATAGAAGACGACGGTCCCACCACATCAAAGGAGGCGTCACTTGCCCGCCAAATCGAAGAGCTAAAGCAAGAACTAGCCGAAGTGAGAAGAAGTAAAGATCGCCAAATCGAACAGCTAAAGGAAGAATTAACCGAAGTGAGCAGAAGTAAAGATCGCCAAATCGAACAGCTAAAAGAAGAACTAGCCGAAGTGAGGAGAAGTAAAGATCGCCAAATTGAACAACTGCGAGCAGAACTGGCCGCAGTGCAAAGGCCAAGAAGTTCAGGAGGTTCTTAAAGATGTCGTAAGCAAGTTAAGCGCTTACGACAAAATCGTACAGATTAGTTTCGACGAGGTCTACACCAGTAAACAGTTAAGCTACAGCTGACCTGAAGATAAGATGATCGGCTGCGGAATATCATCCAAAAGGAAAAAGGTGGAGTGCGTCACAGTACTGATGTTCTCCGCGCGGAGCTTGCTAAATCTATTTAACGTTATCCTAAGCGCAAAACCGATAACCAACCATATAGGTAAGCCCAGCGAATTATGCAACGCAATAAAACTGCAGAGGAGATCAGACTAGATGTCCGAGCTGTCGTCTGCGACAGAGCGTCGCCCAATAAGGATAGGGTGAAACGCTTCTTCAATGGCGTTTATCAATTCAAAAAGGCAGACGGCAGCACGAAACCTATATTGCTCCTCTACGACTACATCCATTTGCTCCAATCATACAAAAGAAAATCACAAGATGACAATACCGTAAACTTCGGCATACAATCACAAATTACAAGAAGAAACAGGCCGAAATCATATTTCTGACGACGAAGAAACGTAGTGCAGACCTTATCATCCCCACGAAGTTGCGCTGAGATGATAAAATTTTGCAGTAATATAACACCAGCGTCATTGCAAGCGGATGTGAACACCTTCGCCCCAGGCGAGGAAAGTAATATTGCCGAGCGAACTTTAAATTTATATGAAATGCTAACAACTGTAACGAACGTCTTCCTTCGAAGTTCAATTACGACCAACACTTGGGAAAACCTAAAACAAAAATTGGAACCCGCTAAAGAGTACCTTAATGCGGCCACTCATTGGGAACAATTAGACGTCGACGCTTTGACGACAATACATAATTTTATCAGGCTAATGGACGACCTGATCCTGGCTTACCTTGGCATCCAGATAGAATCATGCAGAGTAAGCCAAGATCTTCTGGAGCGTTTTTTCGTTAACATGGCAGTAAGTAAGAAAAAACGTACGAGACCTTCGCACCATATCCTAAAATTGTACAAAAGATTAAAACGTCGACAAATATTAGCATGGATTCAGAATGGATTTCCACCTCCAGATGACTACCAGCTAATCGATCAATTGAATTATGACATAGAAGAAAAGTCCAAGGAGGCGTTTCAACCATTCGAGCTCGATGGAGAAGTGTCCACTAACTTGACGACAGTTCAACTAGAAAACAAAAATGATAGTTACCTGCGTCTTGTTACCGGTTACTGTATCAGACGATGTATACATGACCAAATAAATTTGCTTCGATTGCCATAGAGATTTGGTAGCAAGCGAAGGACAATTTTGCGAGGCAATAAATGGAGTGCTAATGGCCAAAGATACGAAAAACAACTTGCTGTACATATCAAAATATCTAAATCCAGCGTGGCCAAAAGGCTTTGTCAACGAGATGTTTGACAAAGCGTACTACTTGTTTGACGCAAGCTTGACGGCACCCGAAATAGGCAAGAGAATACAAGCCACAATCGTGGCACGAGTTGAGTTCTTCGCAAATGGAGGTTCATGCTCCAGTGGAGAATAAATTTGCTGGGGTATATATTAAATCTATTGCTGAACGAAAACTCTTGGAGAGAACCGAAACACAAAAACATTCCATCGTTCTAAGGAAAATCGGGCCCCAAAAGCAGTAAAGTAATTTAATTACAATATATTTTCACTGATGTATTACTTATTTGCGTTTTTTCTTTCTTTTATTTTAGATTAAAAAGGTCCAACACAAAAAATATGAAATAAGGAAAATCGGGCTCCAAAAGAGTAGTAAAGTCAATTTAACTCAAATATTTTGCAAATATGGTAAGTTTGTGGTAATCTTTGTATATACTATGTTTTAATTACAAAATTTTCTTTTGCAGATATTATATTTATTATTATTTATTATTATTATTTA